GTACTGTAGCGAGACTGATTGCAAAAGAGGGAAAATCGGCCACATTAAAATTACCTACTAAACAGGGACTAATCCGCTGCTCGAATCACCCGTGGAATCTTCCATCAGGACCTGCTGCGGGTAATGGGGAGCACTCCAATATTTTTCATTTTCTTCCTTTCAAATATACTGTAAAAAATTACTCCGCGGTTAGGAATAAGATATGCATGTTGCATTTATGTTGTCTATGATATTGAATTTTGTTTGGTTAGATGAAAATTACTGTAAGAGTATATTATAAAATAACAAATGAATTTGTACCGAAAAAAATAACAAATGAATTTAATGTTATATGTATGCTAAATAAAATCACTTAACATAAAATAACATATAAGAATATTTTTTGTTTACTCGTCACTTACCTCAAACTAATTTTTGAAAATTTAACAATATTACATATATACATATTAATAATATATAATATATGTAGATCGATTTGACTTGTTCAATTTATCACTAGTAGCATATATATAATATTCTCGTAACCGGTTACGATTTAGAACAATTAAACGATATATTACTTTGGAATATTGCTTTTTTAATTTCTTATTATTTGTTTATTTATTCAGAAATCATAAAGTCCTGATTGCTGGATCTCTGTGTTTCCCGTGTTTATAGGCTATGTTTGGTAAAACTAGCTAATAAGCTAGCTGATAGCTGATAAGTTAGCTTATAGTTTATATGTAATTTACTTAGCTTATAGCTTATAACTTATGACTTATAGTTGAAAAGCTAGCTTATATAATAAAAGTGTTTGATAAAATTAGCTGATAAGCTAGTTGGAATAAAAAATTCAACTAGCTTATTTGAAAAGCTACCTAAACAAGCTTATCAAATAAGCTCTAACTTTTTAAATAAGTTCGTCCTACCAAACAGGGCTTATTTGAATATAAGAAGCTTATAAGCTAACCAACTAAGCTATGAACTAATTTATTTAGTTTACCAAACATAGCCATACGCGAATTAAATTAGTATTAAAAAATGGAAGAAAAAGCTGGATAAGATAAAAGAGGATCTTAAAAGGATTTTGCTTTTAGAGATGAAGAACAGAAGAAGAAAAAATGAGGGTGAAAAGAGAGAAAAGGATAGATTGTGGGGTCAAGCTATAAAAAGTGATAAATGTGGGGGCAGAAAGCAAACAAAACATTACAGTTGTAAGCCAAATATTATGAACGGCTGTGACATGCATTGGTTGCCAAATTATGAACGGCTGTAAGCAGAAATGTATTGCAGATTCTTCCATGGAAGCCAAATTTTAGTTTATTATATTATTTTATCATCTTCTGCACCACAATTTATTTATTTATTTTATCACCACATTTCTCTTTCATTTCTAGTTATTTCTTCATTCTTTCATGTGCAATTCAGAAATATTAAACATATAGTTTTCTATTATAAAACTAAGTTTTACAGTACCATGTATGGATAGAAGGGGCGGATCTAGCAAAAATATTGAGGGGACCAAATTATATAATGAAAAAAATATAAATATTATAACGAAGAGTGTAAATACAAAAACATACCTTTATAGTTCTTCTTTACGAGTTTTCATGGCCTGATATCGCTCGATAATAACATCATTACTAATTTTCAAAAAGGTTTCATTTTTTACATAAACTAGTAGTCTATCATTTAACCAATCGTCACTCATTCGATTGCTCAACCCAGTGACGGAGCTAGGATTTTCAATCAGGGGGCCCGATTTTAAATGTTAAATAACGAGTTTGTAATTTAAGTAGGAACGCTCATTTCATATAAAGTTGTGTTTAATTATAAATTATCAAGCTATGTAGATCTAGGGTTTGTGATAAACAAAACCAGAGAACACGAAAAGAGAGAGAGAGAGTAGAGAGAGAAAGAAAAATACTGAATTGAATATTATGAGAAAGTTGTGAAAACAAGTACAAGGATCCTATATATATACTAACCTAAATACAACTAAAGTTGTCTTTTATAATTGACAACTCTAATGACATTAATAAAGCAACTAATATGAGAGTAACACTTTTTATACAATAAAATGACATTCTATATATTTTCACCCCCCGCAAGCTAAACATGGATATTTTGCAGGTTTAGCTTGGACTTAAGATGATGAAAAGCTGGTTCTTGGAGAGGTTTTGTGAGGATGTCTGCTTTTTGGTTCTTGGTAGGGATGTATTGG